AAAGCCTGTGGAGATGGCATCTAAAAAAAAAAAATATAAATAAAATCTCATTTCAGAGCCTGTTGTTTGTGCACACAACCCCAGGCCTGAAATAGCAGAGGTGTGAAACTGTGCTTGGGTGGAATTCGGGGAAATTCACAGAGAAAAGAAACGACATTTCCAAAAACGAAACAGATCCGGGGATGTGGAATCACGGCTCTGATTCCCCCCCTCCCCTGCTTCCCACCACTAAGCCAAGAGAGGCTTTACCAGGGTGGATTTGCAGGGGAAGCAGGGGAGGACAAACCAAAATTGTGCAGGGAAGGATAAACCAAATTTGTGCAGGGAAGGAAAAAACCTTTTCTGTGGCGCTGCCTGGGTCAAACAGCACAAAACATCACGGCTGACCACGCTCCATCACCATCACGGGAAACCTTCCCCACTTTGGGCCAATAAAGGAAATATTTACCTGCAGGGGAGAGCAGCTCCCGGGAAAGGTGAATCCCTGCAGGCAGCCCAGCCCCAATCCGTGCTGAGGACAAACTGCCAGCCTGGGGCAGGGCACAGCAGGGACAGAAGCCACTGGTCCATCAGCCCTGTCCTGTCCCTGCCCTGCTCCTGCCCCAGCAAGGCACTGCTGCCTCCTCAGCGAGCTCATTATCGGGGAATAATTCCCCCAGCCCGGCCAGATGTTTTAATTAACTCGTTTGGTCATTAAGCTGCTGTGCCCTGAACCCTCCCAGCCCCGGGCAGAGTCTCAGGTGGGAGCTCCTGCAGCTCCAGGCCAGGTAAACTCACATTTTGTGGTGTTTGATGCTCAGTGATGGCTCCAGGAGAGCTTGGACCTTCTCCTGGGGTATGTGTGACCCAAAAAGGGGCTCCTGTCCCTTTTCCTCCCCGTTTCAGGGACAAGAAGTTCTGTGGGGACACCTGAGGCTCCTCACCCTGCCCAGAGGGCTGCAAAACTTCTCCAGGTGTTTCCCACCACCAGCTCTCACCTTCTGTCACTCGGGGCCAGGAGCAGGTGGCTGGAGGAGCTCTCAATTGTCCCTCTCTGATTTTCAGATCCCATTCCCACAAAAATTCCCTGCTCCTCTAGGAAAACTCAGGCTCTGGTTTTTCTCCCTGCCTCGAGCCAAATTCTGCTGCTGAAGCACTGCAAGCAGCAGAAACTCCTCCTGCATTTCTCTCCAGTAAAACTGAAACCTGGAAGGGAGAATCATTAATAAAAATCCAGTTCTGACTTTATTAGTGGAAAAAATTAAAAAAAAAATTAAAAAATAAAAAGACAGAAAGAAAGAACCCCCTAATGCTGTGATCCATCTTAGGGCTGTATTTCCAAAGGGGCTTTAAGGCAGGATTTGCAGTGGCCCTTGGTTCATCCTGCAGGATGAGCAGCACGAGCTCCCCGTGGGCAGCCCGGGGATGTCACTGCTGTCACTCTGCTGCTCCTGCCTTCCCCACAGCCCCAGCTGCAAATTTAGCAACAGCGCCCGAGCTTCTCCCGGTGCTCTCCCACGTCCTGCCCTGCTCCAGCTCCCGCCTGCCTGCGAGGAATCTTCAAAAGCTCTGCTTAGCAACGTGCCAGCCTTGGGCTGAGCACCAGGAGCCGGGTCCTGCTGCTCCTGCTCCTGTCCTTCCTGATCCTGCTGCTCCTGGTCCTGCTATATCCCCTCTTGCCATCCCATTCCCACTCCTGCCATTCCCACTCTTCCCATTCCCACTTTTCTCATTCTCACTCTTCCCATTCCCACTCCTCTCATTCCACTCCTGCCATTTCCACTCCTGCCATTTCCACTCCTGCCATTTCCACTCTTCCACTCCTGCCATTCCCATTCCTTCAATTTCATTCCCACTCCTTCCTTTCTTTCCCACTCTTCCCATTCCCACTCCTCAATTTCATTCCCACTCTTCCCATTCCCACTCTTCTCATTCCCCTCCTACCATTCCCACTCCTGCCATTCCCATTCCTTCCCCTTCCCACTCTTCCCACTCCCACTCCTGCCATTCCATTCCCACTCCTCCTTCCCACTCCTTCCCATTCCCTCTCCTCCCACGGGGACTCCGTGTCCAGCACAGGGCTCTGCTCCCTCTCAGCACCCCCCAGGGCATCCCCTGGTGACACTTGTGTCACCTCCTGGCAGCCCCCGGAGCTGTGGGCAGGAGCCTCATCCCTGCTGCTGCCACCAGGTCTCAGCTTCCACCGGGAATATTTCTGTGGAGCAGCATCCTGACTGGAGCAGAGGAGAGGTAATTACAGAGCAAACCTTTTAAACCATGCAGAGTCCCCCAGAGGGGAGCAGGTGAGACTCCAGCAGGCATTGCACAAGAGATACGGATCTAGGCTGGTTTATTTTATAAAAATATCTCCTCTCCCTTTGTGGTTGGCTGGAAGGGATGGCAAAACAAACCAGGGCAGCTCCAAGTCCCTGCTGCCAGAACTCCCAGCCCTGTCTCCCACAGCAGAGCCACCCCAGGACCAGCTGGGGACCCTCTGGAGAACAGAGAAGGGTTGAGGTTCCATCTTTGGATTGAGGGTGAGACCCAAACCTTCTCACTGCCAAAATTTGGAAACTCTGCCATCTCCCCATTGCCTGCGGAGGGAGGCAGGATGGGGCAGGTCCGGGACGAGCAGGGCGTGCTGTGAGAGCGTCTGGAGCGAGGGAGAAGAGCAAAGGGGGACAGATAAAAGCACGAGACGGGCGTGAGTCAGGCTGGCACGTGGGCTGTGCACAGAGCCCCGCAGCAAGGAGGCCATGGAGAAGATCCTGAGCCAGGTTAAAAAAAAAAAATAAAAAAAACACTGGAACAAAAGGCAGCCCAAAATAGGCTCGGGCAGACCTGTCTGCTCATACCTGGGCACACCTGGGCACACCTGGCCAGGCCAGGGCAGCGCTGGAGCACCCACAGCACAAAGGGAGAGCTCCCAGGGCAGCTCAGCTCTCCAGGAAATCCTTGGGAAATCCAGGTGCCCTCCCCAGCAGGGACAGCTCTGCAAACACTCGCCAGGAGCCCTGCAGGGCTCTCACACCTCCACCTGCACAGCCAGGGGACAGAACCCCGCTGCAGGCAGCCATGGCCCCGCAGCCAACCCACACCTGGAGCTCAGCACGGAGGAGTTCAGGCCGGGATCCAGCACCCAGCCCTGCCAGACCTCTGGGGAAAGCTTGGAGCTGAAGGAGAGCAGTGAAACTCCAGCTCTTCCTGTCCCAAAGCCTGCTGGGGATGCAGGTGGTTTTTGGGAATCACAGTGATTCCCGAATCTCCTCAGGGACATCCACAGCCCATTCCCAGCCCATCCTTCAGCTGCTCTTTCCACAAGGAAGGATCCAAATCCCCAGCCAGATTTAGTTACGTTTCTCCTCAGCGTTTGTGCACTGGGAGCTTGGAGTATGAGAGGAATTTTTGCTGTTTGTGGGGGGAAAAGGACCCTTTTCTTCAGTGCTGGTACAGCAGCAGGTGCCAGGCTGGATTGTGGCCCCTGGAGTGACAAAGTGCAGGAGAAACCAGGACACGGTGGGGTGATGAGCCCTCAGAGGTGGGAATTCCCTGCTCTGTCCATCTCCAGCTCCTTCAGGGCCAGCCTGAGCATCCCCAAATATTTCAGAATAGAAATAAACAAAGGATTTTCAGCTGCCTTGCTCCCCTTCCCCTGAAGGCACACTGCTGGGACACTGCAGCCACCAACACCAACACCTGCAGCCCCACGACACCGTCACCAGGGCAGATCCCTTCCCAACCTCAATTCCTCACCCAGAGCTGCTTCTCTCACCCCTTGGAGCAGGACCCCACCTCCATTCTCACCCCTCCAGCTTTTTCCTTCCCCAAACAGGAGCAGGGGACAACCTCTGCTGCCCAAACCTGCAGCCAGAAGAGCTGAGCTGATTTCCCTGACGTGTTTTGGGCACAACTCAACCTCCCCCTCAGCACAGCAGCTCAAGGGCAGCTCGTGGAGCTCTGCCCTGCCAGGGCATCGGGGCATCAGCACGGGCACAGCCCAGCTCGGAGCCTGCAGGCACCAAAACCCAGCCTGGCACGGCCACGTGGAAAGGGCAGCAGCTCCTGACGCTGATCTGTGTTTGTACAAGCTCCTCGTTCCCTCCCAGATGTTTGCAGAGCTCGGGGAGTTGGCACGGCAGCGAGGAGCTGGCCTTTAATTAACCAAAAGGCAAATAGGGGGAGGACGTCAGCAGCCTGGAGCTGCTCTGCTGCCCTGGCAGGAGCTCCCAGCTCCTCCAGGCTCCTCACACAGCCGTGTCCCCTCCTTGGCAATGTCCTTCTGTGATGGAAAGGGCTTTGGGCTGCTGCTTTCTGCTCTCCTGGTCTCCACAAAATCCAGCTCCTGTCCCTCTCATGTTGGACACCACAGTGTCCAAAAAAAAAAAAAAAAAAGCAGATTTAGGGACAAAACCAACCATGTCAAAAAAAAAAAAAAAAAAAGCAGATTTAGGGACAAAACCAACCATGTCAGCAACACTGGAAAGTGTCAAAATCTGTTTCAGCCCCCACAGCTGCACAGCACAGACTCCATCTATCCCCATTCCATGGACAGCACACAGGGAATGGTTCCCACTGCCAGAGGGCAGGGAGAGATGGGATTTTGGGAAGGAATTCCTGGCTGGGAGGGCAGGGAGGGACTGGGATGGGATTCCCAGAGAAGCTGTGGCTGCCCCTGGATCCCTGGGAGTGTCCAAGGCCAGGTTGGAGCAGCCTGGGATAGTGGGAGGTGTCCCTGCTCATGGGATGAGCTTTGAGGTCCCTCCCAACCCAAACCATTCTGGGATTCTGGGATTCCAAAACTCCTGAATCCCGCTTCACAGTGTGACCCCAACTTCCCTACACACACCCCAAATCCACGCTGATTTCCACCACGTGTATTTCAAAGAGGAACAGCAGAGCCAGAAACAACTCGGGAACATCATCACCCCGGAAAAGAGCGATGACAAAGTCTCCTGTCCCTCCTCCTCCTCAGCAGCGGGGTCTGCTCTGCTCCCCCGGCTCTGGCAGGGATGAGCAGCAGGAATTAACTCCTGCTCGGCCCTGGAAGTGTCCGTGGGCTGCAGGGCTGCCCCCGGTGGATCTTCAGGTGCTTGGCCAAGTGGTCACTGCGGGCAAACTTCTTCTCACAGGCCGTGCACTGGTAGGGCTTGACCCCGGAGTGGGAGCGCTTGTGGCGGGAGAGCTCATCCGAGCGGGAGAACCTGCGGCAGGAAGGAGGAATTCGGGATCCAGCCCTGGTGCCAGGCTGGGCAGGGGGCACGGTGAGCCTGGCACGGGGCAGGCTGGCATCTGTCCCTGCCACAGCCCCCTGGATCACCCCAAACCCTCTGGGTCACCCCACAGCCTCCTGGATCACCCCACAGCCCCCTGGGTCACTCCACAGACTCCTGGATCACCCCACAGCCCCCTGGGTCACTCCACAGACTCCTGGATCACCCCAAACCCTCTGGGTCACTCCACAGACTCCTGGATCACCCCACAGCCCCCTGGGTCACTCCACAGACTCCTGGATCACCCCAAACCCTCTGGGTCACCCCACAGCCTCCTGGACCACCCCAAACCCTCTGAGTCACCCTCCTGGGTCACCCCACAGCCTCACATCTGTCCCTGTCACAGCCCCCTGGATCACCCCACATCCTTCAGAGGAGGCACCCCCAGCTCCCGAGACCAACCCCTCCAAGAATTTGGAAATAGAAAAGACTTTGCCCACTGAAATCTGAATTTCTTTCCCTTGCTCTCTCAAAGGACGCTGTCCACCTATTTCCTCCATTTGTTTTCCCTTGCTGGAACCTTCCGGCAGCAGAGAGGCCCAGACGCCGAGAAAAAAAATCGGTTTTTTGGGAAAAGAGCTCAGGCTGGCAGTGGCCAAAGGCCACGAGCCAGGAGCCTGGGTGGGAATGCTTTCCTGGAACTCCACCTCGAGCCTGGAGCGGCGTGGCTGGGGAGGGAAGCTTTGTTCTCCCTGTGGATTCTCCCTGCAAACTGGGAGCCCCCCCACCCTGGGGGACCCCCACTCACCTCCAGCCGCAGTTGGGCCAGGCACAGGTGTAGGGTTTCTCGCCCGTGTGCCGGCGGAAATGAGCCTTCAGGTGCGAGCTCTTGGAATAAACCTTGCCACAGCCGGGGTGGGAGCAGCGGTGGCTGCGGAGCAGGGCAGGGGGACCCTGCTGGCACCTGGGGGCTGCCTCTGCCTCCTCCTGCCCGTCCCCCGGGCCCGTGGCCACCGGCAGGGGGGCGATTCTGACGTATTTTTGGTCCAGGATGGTGCCAGGGGGTTGGAGCTGAGGGAGGTTTGGGCTCTGCAGGCTGATGAGCAGCTGAGCCACCCTGACGCCCCCAGGCTGGGCCGGGGGGGTGATGCTGTCCATCGGGAGAGGCTGGAGCTGCAGGAGCACGGGAATGCTGCCAGCAGCCACTGCCTGGTCACCAGCAGCTGTCCCCAAAGAGTTTGGGACGTGTCCTTCTCCTCCATGGTGCTCTCTGGGGGTGAGCTGTGCCCCAGAGCCGAGCTCAGCTTTGCTCTCCACTTTCCACCCCGCGGGGTGAGGATCTCCTGCTTCATCCCTGGCGAGCTCTGCCTTCTCCCTGAGGAACTCCTCGATCTCCTCCAGCGTGGGGATGAACTCCTGGGAGAGGCAGAAGTCAGGCAGCCTGAGCTGAGCCTCGATAAGCTGAGCTTTGGGGGGCTCCTCCTTGGCACTGAACAGTGGGGCAGGCTCAGAGTGGCCAGTGCTGCCTGCCAGGACATCCCCAGAGCCCTCTGGGTGGCCACATGTCCTGTCACCGCCGTGTCCTGGCAGGAGGGACGGTGGCATCCTGCACTGCAGGGCACTGGCCAAGCTCTCGAGCAGGGAAGGGCTGGTCAGGGAGGGCAGCAGGTCCTGGCAGCTCACAGAGACCATTTGGTGCCTCCCCACACGCGGCTCTTGGCTCAGGAGAGCTCAGCTGGGGAAGTCTTCGTTCATCTGCAAGGGAACGGCACCAAGGTTATTTCCAAACGAGAAAACAAACACGCAAACCTCAACCTTTTAACAAAACTGGGCTGTGCACCGAAAAGAAAACAGCAGAACCTGGCAGCGGCCTTTGTTTTTAAAGAGTCTGCTGCTGAAAAAACACGGGCTGACCGTTTTCCTCTGCTGGCTGCCAGCAAAGAGGCAGATTCCCCCCAGAACCAAACTTCTCCGGGGAGCTGATGGAGGTAAAAACACACAAAGAAACCCTTCATCCCTCCCTGTGCCACCCACGCCGGAGGGCAGCTCCGCGCTGCTGGATGGAGCAGGGGATGACTCCTGATTAACCAGGAGTTAATTGCGATCCAGCAGAGGCTGCTGTGACTTCTGCACTCTGCAGATGTGGGCAGGACCACGCCCTGACACAGCCACGGGGTTGGGTTCAAGCTCCTTACCTGCCCAGGTAAGACGCAGACAGCTCCGAGCGCTGCTGCCAGCCCGCCCCGGGCGCTGCGGGATGGATGTTCCGGGCTGCTGGGGGCACAGCGGTGCCCGGGCACGCCGCAGTTCTGTCCTGGCAGGCGTGCCCAGCCCCAGTCACACCTCAGACAGCGCCTCAGCCCGCCTGGGGTCGGCTCCGTGTCGCTGAGGACACGAACGGCGCGTTTGGAAACTGCTGAGACACGGCAAGGTGTGCCCGGGTGGGAGCTGTGTGTGCCCAGGTGGGAGCTGTGCGTGCCCGGGTGGGAGCTGTGTGTGCCCAGCGGGTCACTGGGGACTGGCACAGACCCTGCCGGGGCTCAGGGGATGGCAGGGAGGTGACCAAGGACCCCCCCAGAGCAGCCACACGCTGTCCCTGTCCCCATCCTGCTCTGGAGCACCAAACCACCCAGGGCGCAGGGATCTGTTTGGATTTAATGCAGAAATGGAGTCTCCAGGGGAAAGAAAACCTTTGTCAAAGTCCCTTAAGAACCTTTTCCATGAGATTTCTGTGGAGCTACAAACCAGTCCAGCCAGTCCTTGTTATCAGAGCTCCTCAGGGTCCTGAGAGGGAATTTTGGAGCACTCTGGATGCCATATAAATGCTCTCTCCTTAGGAAATAAACCCCACGTCATCCCAAACCTGCCAGGAGCATTCCCAGCGCTGCCCAGTGTGTCCAGCACAGCTCTGCACCAACAAGTCACAGTGAGCAGGGACTGTCACTGTCACTGCTCACACGAGAGGTGAGGAGCTGTTCAGGCCAGGCTCAGCCTCCAGGCTTCCAATTTTCCTCACAGCCCAAATCTGTGCTCTGAACAGCCTCTTCCAGGCAGTTCCACTCCTTCCTCCACTCCAGTTTTAGGATCTTTTGCCTTTTCTTCTCCATCTCCTCTTTCTGCAGGGAAAGCCTCCCCCCTCTGGCTACCAAAGGCTCCTGTTAACTCTCCCAGAGTGTCCTGAAAAACGATTTTCCAGAGCAGCTCGGGGATGTCCATCCCTCCAGCACATCCCCAGGACAGCTGGATTAAACTCTAAACTCCTCATGGAGCACAACGCTCCCGCTGAGCTGACAGCAGGGATAAAAGCATGAACAGAGAACAGCAAAGTGCCGAGGTTGAGCTGCTGCCTCGGGACTGAGGAGATCCGAGCAGGGCAGCCCTGAGGGAGTTCGTGGAGTGCTCTGCTCCTGAGTTTCCTTTCTCATTTGGGGCAGTGGTGATGCCCCAGCTGGCAGAGCAGTGCTGTGGGACAGGATGTACCTGATGGCACATTCCGTGCCAGCAGACTCCGCGGGCACCTGTCACAGGTGGTGCCCCTGCCCTGTCAATCCAAGGCATTTTTGCAAAACGCCACCAAATGCTGTCACCCCAAAGCCACTGCAAGGAAGCAGAGCTCTGGTTCTGTCCCTCCCTGCCAGGGCAGCGTTCGTTCCGTTCACTTTGCATTTCTGTCCATCCAGTTTCTCCCAGCCCCGGGAGCCCCGGGGTGCTGCAGGAGAGCAGCACATGTGCAGTCCGAGCACATGGAGGGTGAGAGCTCGCCCAAGGTCAGCCAACAAAGCAGCGGGAGCTGGGAACGCAGCCGAGGGTCACGGCTCCCCTCCCGTGACCGAGCAATGCCAACAAACACCTGTAACCTCCGCAGAGCCGCGAGTCACCCGGGGGCCGTGCAGAGCCGGGGCTCGCCGAGCCCTTGGGGACAAATCACACTGTCCCAGCCGGTGCCACACGCGTGGCCGATCCCTCGGCACCAAACGATGCCCAAGGACACGCGAGGCTCCGGTTCCAGCTCAGCTCAGCCCCGGCGGGACTCGAAGCTGTGAGAACACCGAGCCCGGTGCTGCCAGTCTCCAACCCCACCCTGACCCCCGGGGGGAGCGCTGCCAGCGGGACCCTCCCTCACCCCCGCGCCCCTTACCCCGCTCCGCTGCCCGCGGGTCCCGCGGCTCCACCGGGGGCGGCTCCCGGCCCGCCCCGCCCCGCCGAGGGCTCGGCAGCAGCCGCCGATCCCATTGGCACGGGAGTCCCGGGCCGGGAGGGGCACCGGGATGTCCCGGCTCGGTCCCGGCTCGATCGCTGGAGCAGCTCCCGGAGGAGATCCCGCGACCCCGCCGCTGTTTCCTCTGGCTGCTCGTTTACCCTGGAAGCGCTCCAGGTTTTCTGCAGAGTTTCAGGAAAAGGAGGCGAGTCCCTGCAGGTCTCGGCGGTGGCTGCTGGAATCCAGGTGGATCCAGGTGGATCCAGGTGTGCGGAGGGGTTTGGGCAGGGCTGTAGCGCTCGGATGCTGCTGGTGGGACAAGGGGTGAGCTCTGTCCTTGTCGTGGCTTTTTGGGCACATCGAGCTCCTCTGCTCGTGAGATTTTGGGTCTGAACAAAACACCTGGGCTAGGGGAAGGCTTCAGATTTATAAAAACCAAAACAAAATGTAAAAAAAGAAACCCCAGCACTGACGAAAGAGACCCGCGGCTGTTCCCCGAGTGCTGCTGTGTCACTGACCCCGTGTCACAGCCTTAATATTACTGCTGATAACACGCATCAGGTAAGTATTAATAATAATTAAGAATACTTTTTTTATGGCCGTGCAGGGGTCGGGAAGGTCTCAGCTCCTCAGAATCCTCAGGTTCAACCACAGTGTCACAAAATTCCTGGGGACAACAGGCGGGAGCGGCTCCTGCTGGGGGTTTGTACCGCATTTGGTGAGGCGAGCGGGATCGGAGCTTTTTGGAGGAAAAAGGAGCTCAGAGCTTTTTTTGGAGGGAAAAAGAAGCTCGGAGCTTTTTAGGGAAAAATGGAGCTCGGAGATTTTTTGGAGGAAAAAGGGGCTCTGAGCTTTTTTGGGGGGAAAAGGAAGTGGGTGCTTTTTGGAAGAAAAAGGAGCTCGGAGCTTTTTTGAGGGAAAAAAGAGCGGCTGTGCGGCTCCACGGGCCCATCCCTTGCCCCGGGGACACTGGTGGCACTCGGAGCGGGGACATCGCGACCTGCAGCCCTCCTGGCCACGCCCCTTCTGCCGATTCCCCGCCCATAAAACACTGACCCCACCCCCACACCGCCCCTTTGCCCCTGGCCACGCCCCAATCCCCGCCCCATTGGCTCCACCCATTTAAAGCCCCGCCTCTCGACCCCACCCAGTCATTGGCTCCCATCCCAAAAGCCCCGTCCAAGCCACGCCCCTCGGCCACGCCCAAGCTCTCAACTCCACCCCTCATTCATTGACCACAACCCGGCCACGTCAGTCATTCATTAGCCACGCCCCCAAACAACACCTCTCATTAATTGGCTGCGCCCTCACGTCAATCATTCATGGGCTACGCCCCCAAACACGCCCCTCATTAATTGGCCGCGCGCTCACGTCAGTCATTCATTAGCCACGCCCCCAAACAACACCTTTCATTAATTGGCTGCACCCTCACATCAATCATTCCTTGGCCACGCCTCAATCCCCGCCCCTCATTAATTGGCCTCGCCCTCTCGTCAATCATTCCTTGGCCACACCCCAATCCCCGCCCCTCATTAATTGGCCTCGCCCTCACGTCAATCATTCATTGGCCACACCCCAATCCCCGCCCTCATTGATTGGCCGCGCTCCCACGTCAATCATTCCTTGGTCACGCCCCCTCCCGCGGTGGTGGCGCCCCCTCGCGGCCAGCTCAGGAGTTTTTCCCTCTTTCCACACTTTTTATTTTCTTCCCCTCCCCAACACTTTTTTTTTCCATAAAAATTTATAATAAAAGCCTTCCTCTCGCGCCGTATACAAAATATTCACTCTACCGAATAAATAAAACACGAACGTCTCGCGGGCAGGATGTGACCTCAAAAAGGAAAACCAGCATCCATCCATCCATCCATCCCCCCAGTCCTTCCCTATCCCAGGGATTCACAACAGGGAATTTACACCACAGCTCTCCCTCCTCCGCACTCCAAACCCCAAAAAGGAAAGGATTCACCTGTGAGGAAGGGATTCACCTCATACCTGGAAGAGAAAAGCTCCTGCTCAGCAGCTCTGAGGAGCTCGTACCCAAACCTGTGGCCAGACAGGAGCAAATCCTAGAGGAATCCTGTGGTCACACAGGGAATATCAGAAACAGCAGGTAAGGGATGCTCTTACCCAGACTAGAAATCCATTGCTTGCATGTAATCCTGACACAGAAATTTAATTACAAGAAGCCAAAAAAGGCAATTTTGTAATGATTTCCTCGTGCTCCCTCACTGATCTCCAGTTTTAAACCCCAGCTCTGTGCCCCTCTGACCCTCTGCTTTATCACCTGGGCGTTTGAAATGAAGAATTTAAGGCCTTTCCCACCAAACCCCCTGCACCTGAAGCTCAGTGTGGAAGCACTTTAGGCACTTAAATGATCAAAACCATTTGAGCATCAGAGCAGCCTCTGTGCAGGGCAAGCTTCTCACATTTATATAAGAAATATTAAAAATAAAGGGCTTTTCGCTCTTGGGTCAGGGCAGAATTTATTCAAGCCCATTTCTGGCAGTAGGATTTTGTCTCCAATCCTTCTGCTGCAGTGGACAGAGGCCGGGGTAGGATGTCCAGACCCCCAAAACTGTTTCTGGAAGTGGTTAGGGCACTGCCAAATCCGTCCCCAAAACAGCTGCGAGTCAGCACGCAGCCCTTGCTGTGGGAAAGGGAGGCTGGCAGGGCTATAATTTGAGAAGAACTAAAACAAAAACAGTGACCCCTGACGGGAAAGGGACGATTCCAAAGCTTTGAGGGCCCGGCTCAGACAGCAGGGGAGTCACCCAGCCTGGCTGCCAAGGGACAGGCTGACAAAACTTTGCCAAAATAGCAACATTTCACCCTCCAGCCCGACCTCACAAGTGCCTCTGGCTGCCCACACACCTCCACAAAAAAAAAAAAAAAAAAATCCAGGAGAGTCATAGCTGCATTAGTCCCTAGATTGCCGAGGACTGCTGGGGTTTGTGCTCACAGCTCCAACCCAGCTTTTCCTCCACGCTCTTTGCATC